CATTGTGAAAACAGTTGTCACCGAATGGGATAAAGCTGTGTCTTTCTTTCATCTCCTTCCAAAGTGCTTTCTCCAGAGAGTAAACCAAGACAAGTCACAAGGGCAAGGAATGTCTCTGCAGGAAGCAAACCATCTCCTAGACTTCTGGACTGCCCTACCCCTGAGTGGGAATAAGGAGAGGGGACAGGCAGGGTGGTGAGAGGAGCAGGAGACCTTTACCAAAGTCAACATTTGAAAACGATTTCCTTTCCTCTGAGTTTTCCAGATTTCCAGCCATGAGGAATTGTTTCCTTAATTATATTCAACTTCCGGCATCCTACTGGCCAAAGTTTGGGTGATGCTGAATTAAGCAAAATGAGAAACACAGTGCATCCATCTGCGTGTGTGTGCACACATGTACATGAATAGCTACCCATATATTACATTTCCCTCCACTCCTGCCTCCACTTCCTCATTTAGCAGAGAATAAAAGGACCACTGGGCTGAAGCTCAAATCCCTCCTAAGCAGAGGGAAATCCGGGTGTCATGGTTTCCAGAAAGAGAACACAATCTCCGTATGGGGTGTAATTACATCTTAGCTTTCTGCAGAAGAATAGTTTATGGCTTAAATGCTATTAATTGTAAGCCGTTTTGTTCCACGGGAAGTTGTTCATTGATAACTACCCAATTAGGGTTATTTTGCAATTAGTCTATTCACAGTAAATTTATTGCAAAAGGGGGAGGCTGTGGTGTAGCAAATTAAAGCGTTGCTGGGGCTGGGTGTGCAATGGCTCTTAAATGCCAATCTTATTAACCAGCTCAGAGGTCCCGGGAGGGTGTACCATCCTGACTCATATAGCAAAGGCCTCAGGGCAACCCCCAGCAAACTCACGCTGTAGAGCTATGCTGGAGATGCCTCAACAAGACCGGGAGAAGCGTGGGAACCCCTGGCCTAAGATGACGAGATTTTAATTTTTTTGAACAGTTCTGAAGCAGGTCATATAGCAAATATACACACAATGCATATTAATGGCCAGGCACATTAATACACTCTTAACTGTGTATTTGACCCTTATAAACCCTCTGAGATAGGTGTGATCCTGCTCCACTTCCCTTAACAGACGGAGAAACTGAGGCACAAAGAGGTTCAAGCAACTTGTCCAAAGTCCCGTAGCTTGTGCAGGGGAGATCTGGGGTTTGGATCCAGGCCGTCTTGCTCCACCACCAGGCTCTTCACCACTGGCAACATCAGCCTCTCGCTTCCCCACCAGCCCCCTGCCTTCTTCCTTGCCACTCTACTGGCAAGAGATAGGCACAGCCCACAGGCAGCAGAACATCTCGGGGGCTTGACCATCTGTGCTAAAGAGAGGCTTTTGCTTTGGGAAGAGGGAAGGTTTACAGGAAAGGATGCAGACTCTGTAACAAGAGTTCCAATACCAGCTCTGTCATCTGCTGGCCATGCACCACATTCAATGTGATAAGGCAAAAACAGGGCTGCATATTGTAGCACAGTTGACTCTTCAATGAGGGTTTGAGCTATGTGAGTCCACTTATACTTGAATTTTCCTCTGCCTCTGCCACTACTGAGACAGGAAGATCAGGCCCTCCTCTCCCTCCTCCACCTCCTCAGCCTCCTTAACAGGGATGAAGACCTTTATGATGATCCACTTCCACTACACGAATAGTAAATATATTTTCTTTTCCTTATGTTTTTCTTAATTTTTCTTTTCTCTAGCTTACTGTCAGCTGTGTGAGGATCAGCAACTCTAATTCCTGTGTTGTTCAAGGGTTAACTGCAATGGTATTTAGCAGAGATAAGCAAACTACTGGCCCACGGCCTATTTTATAAATTAAGTTTTATTGGAACATGACCAAGCACATTTGTGTGTGTTTATCTCTGGCTGTTTTTACTCTACAAAGATAGAGTTGCATAGCTGTGACAGAGACTGTGTGGCCCACAAGTCCTCAAATATCTACCGTCTGGCCCTTCACAGAACAGGTGGGCTGCCCCCCGGTATATAGAAGAAACTCAATATTATTACTATGGGAGGGCATTTCAACTCAAGCTTCCAGAACTTCTCTGCCAGGTACAGGTTAACAAAAGATTCTGGAAATGTCGCACTCCATTTAACAATTCCTACGCTCTATGTGCCAAATCCAATCAAGGATACAGATGGAAACCACCTGGACCACTTAGACAGGGGTAAGACTGCAAGGGAGGAAAGAAATTTCCTTTTTAAATCTTTCCGTTAAAAGAAAGGGCTGTGTGGATGCACATTTGCCACTAAAAACTCAAAAACAGAGATGAACTTGAGTAAAAAGTTAACCTCGTCTCTGCTGCCGCCCCATCCCCTGCAGAGGGGGCCACATGAAGGGTTTGTCGTGTATCCACCCAGCCCTCTCTGTGCACTTCGTGCATGTGGTCACCTCTACCTGATCCCACTCCTCCATTCTGTGACCAGTGGTAAATGCAGAGGCAATGAGCCAGATGACCTTGCAAACACCCCTTCCTCTATATGGGCCTCTCTGTCTCATCTGTCCAGGGAACAACTGGAATGGAGATTTCTCTAAGGGGTCTTTCTAGTTTCCTTTTTTGGGGAGCCATTCTCACCCTGACCCTTTCTTCTGGATGGGGAAATTGAGGATCTGCTGTTTCAGGAGGTCATCAGCAAAGCCTTGCCAGGCGCTTGGATGCATTAACATGGGGAGAAACAAATCCCAGTCCCCCATGCTGCAGTTGGCTTAATTCTCTGACCTTCTGTCTTAACATTGAACAGCACCTCAGTAGGCCCTTTTCTGCCTCATTTGTCGACCCTGACACCGCCCCACCTCCATCCAGGTCTTTCTACATGTCTTTCTCCTTATTAGCCTCACTGATAATTTGGAGATATTTTCTCTCTCCTTTTTAGTGAAAAAAAAAAAAAAAAACAGTTGCTAGTATCTGAATTTAGAAGCCACCCTTTTGAGCCCTCTATCACCTGGCAAGGGACAGCTGGACAGGACTTGCATTGTGGCCCGACTAGCATGAGGGGTGATCAGGATTAGATTAGGAAGTAGGACCCAAGGGAAAGCAGAGGGAAAGACTCCTTGAGTATTTGATGTAGACTGCTCCCTGACAGATAAGGAAGCCAGGGCCTGAGAGGGACAGGACCCTCCTATTAGTTCATAGCTGAACCTGAACTAAATGCACATCTCTTCATTTCAAATGTATCCCTCTCTGTTGCTAGTGGCACCGACTCTCTTCTTTGTAGGAAGGGGACTTTTGGATGCCATCCACCCTCTCCCTGCAGAAAACCACCAAGCAAACGCAATCACAAACTGTTAGAGAAGTAAGGTCTTCTCTAAGGAAAAAATAAAATGTAAAAGTGTTTCCAGAGGCTGGCTTACAGTAAGCTGGTGTGAGGATGGGGGAGGAAAGAGGACATGCCCAAATCAACAGTTACCATATGTCAACAATGTAGCTGGATAATGGGTGCATGAGGGGTCTCTCTTCTCTGGGTGTTTGAAATGATCTTCTGTAACAGCAAGCTTGTAAGATCAATTACAAGGCATGTGACCTTGGGGAAGTGATTTTACATTTCTCATCAGAAAAAAACTAGGTTCAACAGTGCCAACCTCACAGGGTGGTGGATGTGATGAGATAATTGGATTAGCAGAGCCTGGTGCAGTGCCTGACACACAGCGAGAGCTCAGTGGATGCCGGCAGCTGCTGTCACTCTCCTTCCAAGGGCATTAGAGAAGGCAAAAGTAACCGTCAAGAAACACACGTCAACGGCACAGTTTTTGATGCAGAGATACACGTATGACATACATCTGTGCAAAAAGAGTTCTCTCAACTTTGGAAGACCCCTCCAGTCTGTCTGTGGATTGCTTTGTTAGAGTACTGATCCCTCACTGTATCTCAGCAAGAGAGCTGGTTTATCACCTGGTCATTGGCACACAGAAGAGTGAGAGTGCTGGGCAGGAGGGAGGGAGGAAAAAAGGAAACGAGAGAGGGAGGGAGGAAGGGAGAGAGGGACTAGAAAAGAAGAAAGGAAGGAGGGAGGAGAGAGAAAAATGAGAGAGAAAATAAGGAGGGCAGGAATACAAAATTAGAAAGAAAGGAAAAAAGAAAGAAGGGAACAGAAGGAAGAAAATGGGAAGAAAAATAAGAAGGAATGGGGGAAGGAAAGGAGCAAGAAAATAAAGAAAAGAGAGAAGAAAAAATGAAATACAAAAGAAAACAGGAAGGAAGGAAACAGGAAGTAGATGCAAGAGGAATGGGAAGGAATGGAAGGGAGGGAAAGAAGGAGCTGAGAAGGATGGAACTAGAAAAGAAGAAAAGAGAGAAAAATAAGAAAAAAGAAGGAAGAAAGGAAATAGAAAAAAAAGGAAGGAGGGCAGGAAGAGAGAGGAAAACAAGAAAGGAAATAAAGAAGGAAGAAAAAAGAAAGGAAGGAGGGAAGGAAGGAAGAAAATGGAAAGAAAAAATAGGCAAGAAAGGAGGATGGAAGGGAGAAAAAATAAAGAAAAGAAGGAAGAAAATAACAAGCAGATAAGGAAGAAATGGGAGGGAGGAGAGAGGAAAGGAAGAAACTTTAGGAGGAAAGTGGAAAGCTATTTTCACAGAGCCCCCAAAGTTAACTAGTCAATCAGAAACCGTTCATATCATATTCAATGACAATAACACTCAGGTCAACACTTATACTCTACTGACAGAGAAACCAAGTCTTTCCAATATAGGCCACCTCTGCCCCTCCACAGCTTTCACATCAGCACTGTGTTCACCGTGGTTCGATCATCTGCCATAAAGGCAAAGGGCTAAAGCGCTTGCAGAAGGTCATCAAATTTTTAAAAATTCCTTATATAAGACTTCAGAAATGAGGGTGTACTAAAGCAAATCAGATCTTGGGTCCTGGCCCAGAGTTTGTAGAAGAGGGTGGTCACTTTCAGATCTGAGGAAGCGAGCAACATGAGGCTAGGCGGGAGGAGGACATGCCGGGAGATGCCACTTGACCTGGAGGGAGGGGGCTGGCACTTACCCTCGAGGGGGCAGAACCGAGTCACCTTCTCTGGCATCAGCAGCCCGTGCTTGTGGCGGCAGTAGGTCTCCCCAATCTCCTGGCGGCAGTGCTTGGACTTAGCGCGGGACAGGGCAGAGATGGCCTCCTTGCCCGAGATGTCACACTTGGGTGGCAGGTCATACTTGGTCTCAGGGGAGCTGCCCCCATTCTTCCTGGTGTGGGGCTGTCTGGGAGCATCCTTCCCACGGCTGCTGTTGGCTGCGGCTCTCTCCCCAGGAAGCAGCACCTCGTTGGGGCCCTTCCCAGGGAGCCCATGTCCTTTCCCCTTCTCCTGCTGTTCCAGTTTCCTTTTCAAAAGCTCCTTCTGTCTACTTGGGGGCTTCTTTGCCAACTCAGGCTGGTGCTTTTGCTTTTGAGTCCTAGGTGCAAAGTTGCTGTTGTCGACATTCTCGAAATCCTTGGGGACCGAGTTCTCGTTGTTGCTGTCCGTTCGAACTTTCTCTTTTGGCCGGTGAGAGAAGTAGCCGTCCTGGGGAAGATGGGAAAGAAACACAGAAGAGAAACTTGATGAGTGATAACATAAGTTGGCTGGCCCTGGAAGGGCAGGGATGCAGGTTTGGAAGTCTGAGCCATGGATTCACATCCTACCTTTTCCTACTGGTTTATACTCCAGTAAGATGTTTCTCTCTGGACCTCAGTTTCCCCATTTGGAGATATGAGACATTCCAACCCTAAACTAAGGTTTTTTCCAAGCTCTAATGTGCTATGACTGTGATTTTCAATGCTTTTGATTAGCTAGACAGACCTTTTCAAGTCAGTTTATTTCCTTGACTGTCTTTGTCATCAGTAACAAACATTTTGTTCCAGCTTCCCATTTAAATTCCAGCAGAAAGTGCTGCAACGGTTTATTTAAGGGCTGGAAATGGCATAATAAAGTTATAAAAGGAAAAAATATTGGTAGGATATTATATACATTCCATTGCCTTCAGGACATGCTCATATATCTGTGCCCATAAGAGAAATCAGACAGAGCCATTGTAAATTCTATGGGGAAGACACCATTGACTTTTTTTTTAAAGAGGGAAGGCAGCGTTAGCAGAATGAAACCTTACAATGAGTCCCAGGGGAGGATACAAACTTGTGTTACTGCTTGAGCTTTGGCTCTTGATGTCTGTACCTGGAGCAAAACTGATTAGATCATCTGGGGTCAAGAGAAAGGTCGGGAGTCATTCTGGAGACAATACATTCCATGAATTTTTCCAGAGAAGCGGCATCTCAAACTCAGCTCCACCACGGGTAGATAAGTCCTGGTCACTTTGAGTCAGGATGAAATGCATCATTCAACCAACACTTTGAATTGTTTCTGAAGCATGTTGCTTCTGCTTGAAGCCCATTCCCAAGGTCTTAACCTAAAAGTGTATCCACCGTCCCAGAACATGCCCCTGACCTCTGAAGCCACAAAGAACGCTAATCGTCTCCATAAATCTGCCCTTGTTGCTATGGAAACACACTGGCAATAAGTAGCATCCCTGTTAGTGTTCCTTTTTAAAGAATGTTGAAATATGCTGTCCAAATGGGGCAGTAAGGACAGTGAGGACCGGGCAACTAAACCAATCCCAGGGAAAAGGATGGCAGGGACTGAACAGTGGAGCTGTGCTGGGGCCAAGAGCAGCTGACACCCAGCAAGGCTCTCACTGTAGCAGGTCAGTCAAAGGCCACCTGCAGGCCAAATCTGGCCCACCGTCTGTTTCTGTAAATAAAGTTTTATTGAAACACAACTACCCCTCTTCATTTCTGTATGGTCCATGGCTACTTTCCGGCTACAAAGGCAGAGTAAGTAGTTGTGATAGAGACGATCTGCTGGCCTGGAAAGTCAAAAATATTTCTATTTGGCCCTTCAAGGAAAAGTATGCGAGTCCTTGCTCTACAGGAGTGTGCGTTTAAATGACTCTCCTCCTCTGGGATTGGTTTAGTTGCCCTGTCCTCACTGAAGAGTGCAGGAAGCGACCAGAGGGGTGGCTCCCAAAATGGCGCCGACACACCAGACAACAAAGGCCCTAGGTCCCGGCTTCTGTGAGCACAATTCCCCGGTGCATGCGAATTTCAAACCTTCCTGCGCGAATTTCAAACCTTCCTGCGCGAATTTCAAACGGGCAAGCCTCCAATCCGTAGCCAACTTTGTTATGCGTCCAATAGGACTATAACACAGCGTTGGACCCACCCTACTCCCATGCAGCTCCTCCAATAGGAACATAGCACGGCCCCTTCCGGCCCCTGTCAGGCTGATAAATACAGCCCTCTCCCCGCAACTCTCTCGGTCTCTCTTTCTCTCTCTCTCTGTCGCTCTCTCCCTTTCTGCAGCTCTCTCCCCGCCTCTCTCCCATTTCCTCTCTCTCTCTTACTCTCTCTTTCCCTCTCTCTTTTTCTCTTTTCCTGTTACAAATCCCCTCTGTAACAGCCGCTTTAATAAATCTCTTGGTCCTGACCAGGTGTGGAGTCATTACTGGCAACGAACTTCTTTCGCTCACTGTCCTTACTATCCCATTTGGAAAAGAGACTGCCCTTCTAGTCTCTTCCCCATCATCCCCCAGTGTTAAGTACCAGAGCACCTGCTGGCCATTCCCAGGAGCTGCTATTATCTCCTGATCTGTGAATGAGGGTCTTCTGGTTACGGTCTTTCTTACCTTCCCAGAGTGATTTGTAATAACCACCCCCCAACTTCTCCCAGTGAGGAGCCTAGGGCACACCTCTGTTCTTGTAACTCGAGCGAGCCCTGCTGATATTCCTCTTTTCCCTTCTTTCTATCCAGAGGCTCTCAAAGAATCCCAAGAAGACTCTCAGAAGCATTTTCTGAGCACTTACCACAAGCCAGGATCCACAGTAAGGGCTCACAGGTATTACTTATTGGATACTGACAATCACCCTAGAAGGAGGTACTCTCCTTGCCATTTTACATAATGAGAGCCACAGCCTGATGTGATGACATTCTCGAATATGGATTGTGTGCTAGGTGCCACACTAAGCTTTCCTATGCAACATCTCACTTAACTAACTTCAGGAGTAAGTTCCAAGGTAGGTGTTACTGTCCTCCCATCTTATAGAAAAGAGTGGAGTGGGGGGAAATTGCAGATGTTAAGTAATTTGCCCAAAGTCATCTGGGGGAGGTAGTGAACTTGCATCTGTCTGATTCTAAAACTTGCTATTGTACTGTGCCTCTTGTGTTTTGCTGAGAAGTAAACCATGAAACATTCAGCTCCCCTTCTCCATAAGGACAGTGGAAGGGGTGTCACTCTCTTTGCTAATATTAGCTATGTAGGGATGGAGCTGGTTGGGACAGGGGTGGCATTCAGTAGGGTTCTTCACAAATATTTTCCATTCCCTTCCTTCTAGGTACATCATAGGATAATATATCCCCATCCCCTGCACATTAGACACAGTCAAGCAACATGCTGTGGCCAAAGCAAATGACTGGAGTCAAGGAACACTGTGCCACCCAGCATGGAATCCAGCCACATTCCTGATGGTGGAGGACCTGTTCCCTGAGTGAGACCAGCATGGAGCAGAGATTCCGTCAACTCCCAGTGAGTAGTCATGAACCAGTTACTTTGAGTCACTGAGATTTGGGGGATCTTTGTTACTGCAGCACTGTCTAGTTTGGGCTAATTAATAGAGGAACTAATCTGATCTGCTTTCTTTCTCTTAGCTGTTCTCAGGTGCGGGAGCCATCATTTTTTTTCTTTTTTTCTCCAATAGACAGGAAATCAGTTTGATGATTCCCATTCTCCAAGAACATGAATTTAAATTCTGTTCCTAGATTTGTCCCTAGAAGTTTCTAGAGGGCATGAAGTAAGTCAGAAGAGCCACTGCCCTGTTTCATCCTCTCTCTTCAGACATATCCTAAGTGTTATTCTTGGGCTCTTCTCTTTCCTCATTAACAGATGATCATCTAGTTTGGCTTCCCAAACAGAAAACTTCCACAAAGTTCCTATGTCAAAAGCTCACATGCTCTACCACTTTCTGGCAGAACTTGTTTGTGTGTGTGTGTGTGTGTGTGTGTGTGTGTGTGTGTGTGTGTGTGTGTGCTGGAGTTTCACTCCGTCGCCCAGGCTAGAATGCAGTGGCATGCTCACAGCCACCGCAGCCTCAACCTGCTGGGCTTAGACGATCCTTCTGTCTCAGTCCTCCAAGTAGCTGGAACTACAGGCATGTGCCACCACGCCTGGTTAATTTTTTAATTTACTATAGAGATGAGGGCTCACCAAGTTGCCCCAGGTTGGTCTCAAACCCGCAGACTCATGCTATTCTCTCACCTCCACCTCCCAAAGTTCTGAGATTATAGGTGTGAGCCACCGTGCCCAGCCTTCTGGTAGAACTTGACCAAGCAAAACCAGACACAGGAAACACCTGTGATCCTCTCTCTTCACTCTTCACAGCCAATGAAGCTAAACTGACAGAGACTGATGGATTCCTCTTCCTAAATTGTAATATCAGGAACAGGTACCACCATCAATTCCACCACAAGTCATTATACCTGCCATCTACTCAAGAGAAGCCACCACAATGGGAATGATTAGCTTGGTGTGGCCCTGTGGGCTTCCGCCTGGCCCCGGGTGCTGCTCAGCTGCTGCGGGAAATCAAAAGATTTGAATATAAAAGGGAAGGAAAATATTTTGTCTTCTGGAGTGAAGAACTCACAGATATTAGATAACTTCCAGAAAAATCAGCAAGAGGCACAGTCAGTGAGAATCAGGCAACATTCAGAGGCTTGAGTATTCCTGTCCCTTGGAGTCAATGTTGTTTCCTTTTTTTTTTTCTTCTTTTTTGAGTTGGAGTCTCACTCTGTTGCCCAGACTGGAGTGCAGTGGCCACTCTCGGCCACCGCAGCCTTGACCCTCTGGGCTCCGGCGATCCTTCCACCTCAGCCTTCCAAGTAGCCGGAATTACAGGCATGCGCTATCATGCCCGGCTTTTTCTTGTTTTTTTTTTTTATTGTAGAGATGAGGTCTCGCTGCCCAGGCAGGTCTCGAACCCGCGGGCTCAGGCAATCCACTCACCTCAGCCTCCCAAAGGTGCGGGATTACAGGCTGAGCCACGGAGCCCGGCTAATGCTGTTTTCTATCATGACTAATGCATTCTCTCTCACCTTCCCCCAAACACTTTTATTTTTTTCTTTTTATGATACAGTGGTGTTGTATCGATGTCACGTTTCCTGATTTCGCAGACAGTACTGTAGCTCTGGAAGATGTTCATGTTTGAGGAATCTGGCTTTGGGGTATATTAAGATTCTTTGTACTATTTTTCTTTCATATTTTTTTTGAGTCGGAGTCTCACTCTGTCACCCAGGCTGGAATGCAGTGGCATGCCCACAGCCACCGCAGACTTAACCTTCTGGGCTCAGGTGAGCCTTCTGCCTCAGTCTTCCAAGTGGGTGGGACCACAGGCACGTGCCACCACGTCCGGCTAATCTTTTGATTTATGGTAGAGATGAAGTCTCACCAAGTTGCCCAGGTTGGTCTCGAACCCGTGGACTCAGGCAATTCTCTCACTTCAGCCTCCCAAAGTGCTGGGATTATAGGCATGAGCCATTGCACCCAGCCTGTACTATTTTTCAACTCTTTCGTAATTTTAAAATTATTTCCACATACAAAGTTTTTTTTTTAAGTAAAAGAATTGTATGTGCTATTAGTTATTGATAGACTCGGAGTTTTTCACTTTTAGCTCATTTTTTAAAATCAGGAATTGTTGACAAATTTTTCAATGTCCATTAAGTACACTATTGATATGATCATTATGATGTTGCCCTTTAATACATTTCTTGATATCGAAAGAATTTTCATTTTGTTGTGGTAAGAACACCTAATATGAGCTCTAACCTACCAGCCTGTTTTTAAGGGTCCAACACATTGTTGGTTACTGCAGGGATAGTGTTGTGCAGCAGAGAGCCCTAGTGCTTATTCTTCCCCATGCAGAATTGAGACTCTGTGCCCAGCAATCAGCAGCTTCCCAACTCCCTCTCTCCCCAACCCCTCCTCCCACCATGCTACTCTCTGGCTTTATTCTCAATATCTGATATAAGGGGAGTCCTGTAGGATTTGTCCTTCTGTGACTGGTTTATTTCACTTAGCATTACACCCTCTAGGTACATCCATGTTGTTGCCTATTGCAGGATTTCTGTCCTTTTCAAGGCTGAATAATTTCCAGTGCATAGATATGCCACATTTTCTTTATCTGCTCATCCACCAATGGACATGAGATGTCACTTCAAGCTCCCCCTAACTCTTCACCTAACTGCCAAGAGGCAGACAGTTCTCAGCTTTTCTATCTAATCCCTGGAGACCCAAGATCTGGAAAGCCAAACCCAGGATCCCTTCCCTAGACAAAACCAACCTTGGGAGGTCTCCTGGCAGATCCACAGGGGACAACGATCATACACCCATCACCCAAGTGGCCCATACTCTGTGTCCCCAGTGCTCTTGTTAACTTAGCAAAACAGGCAATATTAGTCCTTCTTAAGGAGAGGAAACTAAGGCACAGAGAGGTTATATAACTCGACCAGGGTCACACTGCTACTAATGAAGTGACTCAAACTCTCTGTAACTCAGTTCCCACATTTGGAACACAGGGATGATAACAGTACTTATCTCATGGGTACATATCTCTTCAGTGAGAATGCATGTATGTAAAACTTCTGGAATGTGGCCACCACCCAAAGCAGGAGAAATAATAAGTAGGAAACCCAAACTGGGCAATTCTACCAATTAACAATGGGCTCAACTATCTCACCTCTGATGGTCCCCACCTAGAGGACAGATTGGTTATTATTTCTTCATTATGATCAAAGAACCTTGTCCCCTTTATTCTTAACCAATCCAATTCTCTCACCTTGAGTTATTTATGCTAATGCAACCCTTTGACTTATTTTATTTTAATGTACTTATTACAATGATTGCACATTCAAATGTATGCGTGCAAGCTCCAAAACTCTAATTGCTCTGCTGTTGCCTTACCTCTAAGCTGCTGCTAGAATCCATTTTTATTCCAGAGAAATAATTAAATGCAATAATGTCCTTCATCCCCATTCAACCTTGTGCATGTTTAGAGCCAATTTCAATCAGGTAGAAATATGCTAAACACAATATAGTTCTGAGAGGCAGGTTACCTGACCCAGGCTGCTCTTGCAGAGACACATTGGGCTGTTGGGGCTGTTTCTCTCTTCCCCTGGTTCTCTAATTTTCAGACTTCAGGATGGGCCTCTGCCAGTTCACTGAGTCCCAGCCCCTTGCTCCTGTTTCTCAGGGGTGGGGACAGGTTGCTGTGTTTTTTAAACTATCCACTAAGAGATACACCTTTGCTCTTATTGCTTGTGTAGAAGGAGCACCAGGGAGGGAGTGGGGAGACCTGGATACATGTCTTGCTTTAGCAACTGCCCAATTTTCTCATTTGTAAAACGATGAGTTTCGAATGTGTGTTACTAACGTTCTATGAATTGGTCATTAATCAATATGTTCAGTTAACAAAGTTCTGCCACTTCAGCTCATTGAAAAAAAATTTGATGGGCTTTAGGAGACCAGAGACCGCCAGGCACGGCGGCTCACGTCTGTAATTCCAGCACTTTCGGCGGCTGAGGCGGGAGGATCACTGGAGGTCAGGAGTTTGAGACCAGTCTGGACAACAAAGTGAGACCCCCATCTCTACAAAAAAATAGACAAAAATTAACTGGGCATGGTGGCACATGCTTATAGTCCTAGCTACTCAGGAAGTTGAGGCAGGAAGATCACTAGAGCCCAGGAGTTCAACGCTTTGGTGAGCCATGATCATGCCATTGCACTGAATGCTCCAAAGGGTATCATGTTTTATCCCAGCCTCATCTTTCCACTGTCTCTATCAGAAGGCTGAAACTCAGGTATGGACTCAGGCAGCATTGAGTTCGATTTCCCTCTTCTCCATTCCTTAGCTTTATCAAGCTGGGACAGATCACTTCATCTCTCTGTGCCTCAATGTTCTCATTCATTGTAGGAGGCCAAGGATGACACCAACCTCCCAGGGACTGAGAGAATCGAGCATATAGAACATAGCATTTGACACATGAAAAGTGCTTAAGTAAAATACATCTATTAGAAAACATGCATATGACACTTACTGGGCTCTGTTCCAAGCCCTCTGCACATACTGACTCATTTAATGCTCATGATGACCCTTTTGAAGGAGAGACTGGATTTCCTCCCCATTTTTCAGATAGGGACACTATGGCTCAGGGAGGTGACATGACTAAACCCACACATCTAGAAAGTGGAGGAACCAGGGTTTGAACCCACCTGTCTAGGTCTAGAGGTCACACCTGCCAACACCACACTGACTCTCCGCAGCTATTAGGAATAGAGATGGGGCCAAAGGGAAACCCCGGCCAGGTGCACTGCTCAGATGTGAGGACGCCCGTCCCCCTGGCTCATTGCGCCAGTTGACGGCTTCCTTTCATGCCATGTGGACGCACAGCCGGCTGGGTAGCTCTTTGCTGTTGAACTCAGTGTCCGAGGCTTCATTCCAATCACCAAGGCTACCAAGGCCACTGGGAGGGACACTCGGGGAGAAGCCTGCACCTGCTTCCAAAAGGACCTCTGTGCCAGGGCAGACGAATGGAGGAGGTGCAGCGTGCATGGCTGCACCAATTAGGACATTCAATTACCCAGGCTGCCAATGCAAATAGACCTAACAGAGGCCCCTCGCCTGGCTCATTCGAATGCACAAAAGGTGGCTGAGCTGGCCAGTGCTTAGAAACCCATGAGCCATGCTCAACACAGGCAGGCCTTGCTTTAACAGTACCTTAAATCATAATCCCTTTGCAATGTAGCATCATGGCACAGGAGAGAGTTAATAAGAGGGCAGGAGGTGCATTGACAGAACTGTATTGAAATCCAGTCTCTGACCCTTAACCCTGGAGGGAGATGGAGGGAAAGACGTGTAACCTCCTGAGAGGTTACAGAGCCCCCGGTGGTAAGAAGACCAAGTTTGCAAAAGTGAGATAGAGATGAACTAAAATGGTACACACATCTAATTCTCTTTACCAAAGAGCATTGAGCATTAATATATAAGAAGCACTCGATCCATGGCAGTAGTATGATCTCTTTAGCGAATACCTTGTGCCTTAATGAGTGAGCCTACATCTTTTTGGAAAGGCAGGGTGTGAGGTGGACTGAATTCAAATCTGGACTCTGTCACTTTGCTTGCTGTGTGGCCCTGGGTATAGTACCTAACTCTGCTTCAGTTTCCTTCTCTGTAAAATGGGAACAATAACTAGCTACCAACCCAAGAAGGTTTTTACAAGAATAAGAATTATGCACTTAGCATAATACTTAGTTAGCTACTGTTTATGAAAACAGAATGAATACTTGCAATAATGTCCTAATATGGTGGTTCTTAAAGTATGGTCTGGGGACTCCTGAGCATACCTGAGGCCTTTTCAGGGGATTGTCAAGGACAAACTATTTTCACCATAATGCAAAGATGTTATTTTTCTTTTTTGCTCATTTTCTCACAAGCATACAGTGGAGTTTCCCAGAGGCTACAAGACCTGCAGTATCTCAACAGCTTAAAAACAGAAGCAAATGTGAGAATTCAGCTGCCTTCTTTCAAGAGAGACATGACAGAGATTTGCAAAAATGTAAAACAGTGCCTCTGTTCTCACCAGATTTTTTTTGTTGTAGAAAAAAATATACATATTTTCATAAAGATTTTTATTTATATCGACATGTAATAGGTTATCATTTTTAAATAAATTTAAAAAATTTTAAGAATGCCTTCATCTCAATGTCAACATATAGCAAATAATTGATAAGACCTACCTAAACCAAAACTCTTTGAGGGTCTTCAATAATGTTTGAGAGTACAAGGAAGTCCTGAGATCAAATCTGAGAACTTCTGACACAATGTATACATACAATCCTAAATATCTACACCTTAATAAGATACAAAGTTTAGGACCTTTCTGTGTTGGGTGTTTTGCTGTACAAGTCTTTGGATTTATATTTTCCTTGCACACACAATAAATACACACAGAACAGACAGAAATCTAATCGAGTGATAAATACTTTTATATAGAGAGAGAGAAACCCAGGACCCTCAAGTCCTGAGTGGCTTTCAGGGAGAGAGAATGACCTTCTGTCAAGGGTCCCTTCTTGACCGAGCTCCAGCCAGCCTCCTCTGAGCCCTTTCTCGACCCAGCCTCCACCTAGTTTCTACTAACCCACATCCCTGGGATGACCCTAGGTCTCCTTAAAGTGCCTGAAAAACTCAAGGCTGCCAAAATAATTTGCTGTTTGTTCCAGCAGATACCTCTAGACATGGCCTGTCTTCTGGCCTTTGTGGGAGGGCAGGAGTCTAACTTCATAAGTGCCAGTTAGCAAACACAGATGGGTGTCACATGGATCAATCCTCCCCTCCTGCTTTTTATAATTCTTCTCCTCCCTGACCCAACTGAACCCCACTCAGTCCCTCTCTCCTCCTTCCTCTTCCTTTGAAACATCCAGTCAACCCTGAACAAACCCAAGCTGAGTTCCATTCGCACAGATTCCCTTCCCTCTTGCAATAGGAATTTCTGATAAAATTTGCCCTCACCACTTTCACTAGGGGCTGTTTATATCTGATGCTGTCCAAGGCCACACAGCCTGGATCTCAACCCTACAAGGCTGAGTCCTTGGGACAAGTAGAGGAGCCAGCCCCTGTCTCAAACCCCTCATTCCTCCCAACCCCACCAGTGACAGTCATGGTGCTCAGAGCACCCAGGTGACTATGGGTGGGTGGCAGGGGAAGATATGAGCCAGCATCTTCTGTCTCTTCCCATGTCGGCATAAGAGACAGCCATGTGGAGCAGAGAGACACACAGAGGAAAACATGATGGCAGAGAAGTAGAGGAGAAAAAGAAAAAAAAAGAGCAAGAAGGAATAAGGAATAGACATCAGCTACTATTTACTACATACTGATTATGCACCAGGCGTGGTGCTAAGTCTTCCTTGGAATGGCTTATTCATTTCTCAAAAAATCTCAAAAAGTAGGACAGGGGTCAGAAAAACACCCCAACACTTGTCATTGTCAATAAAGTTCTTCTGAAACACAGCCACACTCCTTCACATTCCGAATTATCGAAGGTAGTTCTTTTGTGCTATGAGGGCCAAGTTGAGTCATTGTGACAGACTGTGTGGCCCACAAAAACCAAAATCTGCCCCTCTGCAGAAGAAGTGAGTGCCACTTCAAATGGAGAAGCCAAGGCTGAACCAGTCCTGCTTAAGGCTGCTTAGTGTATAAGAGGCAGGGTCAGAAATGGCAACAACCATGGTCATTTTGGAACAAAGTGCTTTACACAGAAGGGCTTTCTATAGGAAGGCCTTATGACTGTGCTATAAAAGTGTCCCTAAGGTTGGTGGCCTCTTCTTCAATGCCATTTGAACACAGTTTGCTTCTAACTGCAACATTCTACTATTCCACACTTACAGCCAAAATATGCAAAGGTGGAGAGAGGAAGGAGAGAGGGAGAGAGAGAGAGAGACAGAGATAGAAACAGACAAAGAGAGAGACAGAGAGAAACAGAGATAGAGAGAGAGAGAGAGAGAGAGAGAAGAGGAGAGGAGAGCAAGAGAGAGAGAGAGAGACAGAGAGAGAGAATATGAACAACCCAGTTTTGCTTCTATAATAAAGCTTTCTGAATACCTCTAAGGCAGGGTTTCTCAAGGATGGCACAATTGACATTTGACGTTTTGGGCCGAATAACTCATTACTGTGGGAGACTGACCTGTGCATTGTAAGATATTTGGCAGCATCTGTGAACTCTACCCACTGGATGCCAGCAACATCCCCATGTTAACAATCAAAGCTGTCTCCAGACCATTATCAAATGTGCCCTGGAGTGGGGGCAGGGCAAAATTACTCCTCCCACACCTCCACCCTGGCTGAGAACCAAGACTCAAGGGCTCACACTAGCAGACAAATCTTGCTCCCATCCGAAAACAGTCCCTAGTAGCCAGCCAAGGTGGCCAGAATTGGAAAGAGAGGCCAGAAGGAGGAAGGATGGCTGGAGAAAGGGCCAGAGTTAACCCAAAGAGGGTGTTCTGGGGGCTGCAGGGCATGAAGGGAGGAGGCTGGGAGAGGGAATCAGGGGAAGCAGGAACTGCAGGGGAAAGTGGGAGAAGTTGGGGTCCCCAGCTGGGCAAGGGGTAACCCTGATGAGGGGGCGCACATTCATTTGGCCAATGGATAGTCCTTGAGCCAATGATACATATGCTTAAATTTAAACCAGAGGTTACTACTGGGGCCGATGGCTAGATTAGGCACACAGGTGTCTGGCTTGCCCTATAGAGTGTTTGAGTTTAAATCCCAGTCCACATTTCAAAATCTAGAGATTTCATCTAAAGATTGGGATTTCTGTCCTCTCTGGAAACATCAGGGACCTGACAACAGTGGCCTTGGATTCCTACATGTGACAATCATCTGGGGGCTGAGTAGTGGCCCCATGGTTTCCAGGAGGGGTATCTGCTCTATGGACAATCACAGCCCCATCCAGCCTGGCCTGTGTCCCCTTACCCACTGGTGTGCCTTCTTCAAACCAAGGACCAGGTTCTTCAAGTAACCCTCTACCTTCTGAGTCTTGCCTGGGAGAGCTTAGAACGCTTCATGAATCCCTTTATTCCCAGGGTCATCGGTGGAAATGGTATTGCCCCTGATGGGGTGTTGTAGAAATATGTCATAGCATTTCTGGTTGTCACAATGATTGGAGGATGTTCCTGGCAGTTAGTGGGTGGGAGAACACCAGGATACCCAGCAATGCAGGGAAACACACCAACACCATGAAATGAAGAATGATCTTGCATCTTATAAGACTTCTGAATGTCCCCAGATGTCATATGGGTAAACAACTCAAGCAACTCAGATTTACATATGACCCAAAATACTTAAGATTGGTTTTAACATATCAATTTTCTAGGAAAGGAGCTACCATTTCACTCCATAGGAGAGTTTATATCATTCAGGGTTAGACCACAATGTCAGAAAATGACATCACCAAAGGCCACGCAAGCTGTGGCAGTGAGTCACCATCAAACACATCTACTGTCCTGCTGCATTTGCAACTACTGAATTCTCTCAGACTCAGCACACAGCAGCTGACCCTTTCGTGCATCTGCCAGCCCCTTGCCACCGAGGCGTGGTCAACCGGCCAGCAGCATCCCCTTCCCTTGGGAGCATGTCAGACGAGCAGGAACTCAGGCCCCCTGCCTAGACTAGCTGAATGGGAATCTGTATGTTAACAACATCCCTGAGTGATTCATCTGCACATCCAAGTTTGAGACATGCTAGTCTAATGTTGTTGCAGGTACCATTTGAATCACAAAATACATATGATTTGTTTATAAACTACTTTAATCTTTTTCTCCTTCATACTATTTTCAGACAGCATATTGATCTTTTTTAGAGTTGTGGGTGTAAGCAGGTTAGAGTAGACATAGATTCCATTTCAGGATAAGTGAAAGGAATGTTTTAAAAGATGTGTTACATTAAGAGGGGCTGGGTCTGATAGGGTTGAGAATCACTAGTTTACCCATTCCACAAACTCCAATTGGGTGCCCACTCCCTGCAAGGCATGGCAGGGGTCAAGTACAGGAAGGTAAACA